CAGATGATCCCAGACTTCAGTGAACAGCAGCTCTTTTCAGAAACTGGTAGGGATTTTCAAATACTCCTTGGGCTGGTATGGCACATGACTATAATGTGCAGGTATTAAGCTTACAGCATAATACATATAGGGTTCACTACTGGAAAGCAGCCCATGAGGAAATACAGCTTCAATATAAAGCTTTTTTAGAAGTGGTTCATACAAAAGTGAATAGTAAATGTTGTGGTATAATCACCAAAGTTCAAAGTTTTAACAAGGTACTTTTTTTCACAAAAACTAACAAGACATGTTAGTAGCAGAAGTATTTACACAGCCAGAATAATTTTCCTGATCCAAGATTGGAATGTTTATCCACATTTAAAGAAAGAAATGCTGCATAACTTGACAAATCTATCATCCCTATGGCTATATAATAATATCATAGACGGTATATTCAACAAAGAAGACTTTTTTTTTTTAATTAAAAAAAAAAAAAAAAAGCTTTCAGGTCCAAAAAGTCTTATTTGAAGATCAACCCAGCTCTATCCCTGGAAACACCCTCCTTCAAAAAAAAACTGCCTTCCATCTGTCTCTGGAAACACAGCTCCTACAATACAGATACCTTCCCCACATTTAACCAGATAACCTGCTGCCCACTCTGCCTACTGAAATCAACTTCCCAGCTGGATAAGGTCACGGTAGCACAACAACAATAAGCAGGGGGAATGGATCCAGAAGCTCTGCCATGGAAGACTGCAATAGCCTGCCCTGGGTAGTGCTGGGATTTTCAACACACCCCTGTAGGAGGCTGCTTCTGAGTAAAGTGAAGCATCCAGCAATGTACCTTGGTGCCATGAATAACCTGAGATTATTGCAAATGTTCTAAAAAGCCACCTGCATGGATGACACACATGCCTTCAGGCACAACAGGCAGATCTTCCCATCACTGAACTGTGTTGTAAATAGGCAAAAGGAAAAACAATACTCATACTGATCTCTGCAGCAAGCTTGCACAATGTTGCTGTAACAATTAATCCCTCATAGAAATCCAATTGTTTTACTAGTTAGCAGAGAACAGTCAGAAGATGACAGTAAGAGCTGCTCCCTGAAAATCAAGTCATTGAGTATATTAAGGAAACAAAAGGAAGAAGTCCCAACCAGTCTCCATTGCAGAATTTTGTATGGAGGGCTGAGTAAAGATTTTGATACTGCTACCAGCAACAACATTTTAACAGGTGTACCAGCTTTGAAGAAAGGTGGGGTTGGTTTGGTTTTTTAATTTAAATAAGTTTGCTGTCTTGATATCCAGATAGCTGTTGATCAGAGCATGTTCTGCTGCTTTCATACAACATGAAAGTTTTACTAATTAAAACCTACAAATGAAGGGATAATGACAGCCTATGGAGGCATGCAACAATTAGTCTTCCCTGCCAATGCACTCCTCCTCCAATGAAATATGGTAGTAGTTAAAGGCATCCCTGCTGTTCTAATTCTTGGCAAGCTACATTTATTTTGAAAGTGAATAATTAAGTGTTCGTCCAAACAATCATTCTGGTGACAAATTTGTGACATTAACTGAAGAGTTGAGGTTATTTTGACAAATTCATGATGGAGAGCAGCTCAACGGAACAAGGACAGGTAATGAAGAGTCCCAAGTTCAGACACTTGATTTAAAACATTCGAACTCCATTTACTGGACAGCAACTAAAAGCCCCCAGTAGGCTTTTATATCCAGTGAGCCCATCACTACAGCTGTGATTTCATGCAATTCAAGCCAACATACTTAGCATAAAAATAATAATAAAAACAAAATCACAAGCGTTTAAGAGATGTGGTCCAGAGTGTTGATATGATGCTGTGAGTACAACTAAAAGAGGTTTTGTTTCTGGCTGCTGCTGTTCTCCATCTGTGACAGAGCTCCCAGGCTAAATACACATATGGTTGTTTCCTAACCCAGTTCTGTCAAGTGATGCTGGTTAGCCACAGAGATATGTAAACAAAGCTGCTGGCAGCAGCTCTGAATGGTATCGCCCACTTGTTCCCAGGTTTGCCAGTTTTGAATTCCCTGTAACTTAATTGTGCTTCAATAAGAATCTGAGCAATAACTTGTTTCCCATGATGATCATAATGGAGAATCTGATTCATCACAGAGAACAAGTGAGACTTTTTTCTAACCTTTATTATTGCTCAGATTGGTCATTTTACTTTTACCACATACATCTGCATGTATGCATACATAAATATTAGTGCTATATGTGTGTTGCATATGTATATACTTCTACAAAGGTATTAGTGTATAATGAGAAAACCCTTAACTTATCCAGAGCAGGAAGGGACATAAGCAGACATGAGAACACTAAGACATTACCCTCTATTTCCTTGTGCAGCAAGTGTCAGAATCATACCTGTATCACATAAAAAAGCCTTTTAAGTCAAACCACTCCAATGGAGAGAACTGCACACACTGGCCCAACAGAGAGATAACCCCAGCTTAGCCACTATTAGACAAACACACTGGAACAGACCCATGCTCTCAAGCACTACCTGTATCTCTCAAGACAAGTCCCACAAAGGTGTGAACAAACAAATTTACCTACTCACCTTGGTTCAACAGCACAAGAATTTACCACAGGACATAAAGCACAAGAAAACTCTTCCACTTATTTTGATTTCAAGGACTTCCTGAGCCAGGTGTGGTTTCTGAGTATTCACTAACTCACAATGAACACCCTGTCATGGAATTTATTCAATTTGTTTGAACCCACACCAGGTTTCAGTTTCCATATCATATTTATGATGTCAACCTATGGCTACAGTCAACCTATGTCCTAGATTGACCGTGTGATGCTTTTATCCCCAGTCGTCTGCTCTGTTTATGCTGAATAATAAGTTTTGCACCTTTAAGACTTGTTCCAGGAGTGAAGGGGCGGGAGCAGAAGCTGGAGTTTGTTTTCAGAAACTGCACACTCCTCCACATTCCTGCTGCTGGACTGTGTTATCTGCGGACAGACAGCGAGACAAAACTCTCATTTGCTTTTTAGTTAGTTTTAGCTAGCTGGGGCAAAGAAGTTCCCTGGACTGCGGCTTTCCCTTTTCTTTGGCCCTGCTCAAACCTGCTCTGGATGAACACCCAGAGGAGCGCCGGCAGCTCGCACCCGTGGCCAGCGGGCCGGGCCGGGCCGCGGCATTTCAGCGCCGGAGGGACTGATAAGGGACCGAGTGAGCCGGGCTGCAGCCCTGGGGGGGAGGTTTTCTGAGTTTGTCTCTTGTTTGGAGCGGCAAGAAGCTTTATTGTTTAGGTTTTCTTGTTTAATAGTTTTCCCCACTTTTTCTCCAAGGAGATATTTTTTCCCCGAAGCGGTTCGGGGGGGGGGAGGGGCCGATTGAATCTGCCTTCTAGAGGAACCCCTCCGGGGGGTTCTCTCCCAGTTTTGCCCTAAATCAGAACAGTTCTACAATTAAGACTCTCCTCTTTCCACTATGCTATTTAAAATACTATTTTAAAAAGTAAAAAGCATAAATGTATTACTACGTGTATGGATTTTTGACAGATACTTTTGAGGCTTTAAAGGCACTGCTTAATAGTGATAAAAACGGCATTAGAACTCAATAAATACACTAAGAGTCAACTTGGTTTTAAAACTGTTTACCCTGTAGCAATAGGTCTCATGTTTGTATTTGGTAAAAGTTTCTATAGGATGTGTTAGCAATTGCCAAGTAGTGCAGTTATTATTTCCAATGTACATGCAGCACCTAGTACACCTAGGATTAGATAAAGGAAAACTCCCCCTTCCCATGAATCCTATTGTTCTTTCATAAAAGCTTGGGACTAGACAGAGAGCAAGACCACTGATTTGCTGTCAGAACATGTTGCCAGATATAATTACAGGCGGAACAGTGATATCAAAGACTGACAGATCCTGAATAACTTGCTCTCCCTCCTTTTCATTAGGAGTTCACTAAAGCTATTTTAATAGCTTGAAAGGCATCAATTTCTTTACACCAGTGGTTTCATCACCAAAGCTGTAGGAGCATTAAGACAAGTCTGAAAGTTTCAGGATTTCTGATAGGTGCTGAAAACCAAACCAATACCTCCCTCCTTTCCACCATGTAAGTTGATTTCTATGTGGAAAATGGAGTTGGACTATTATAAAACAACTTGACCTTGCAAAACAAAAGTTGTAGAAGCTTTTGGCAGCAGCTCAAAGAAGTTTTCCTTGTTTCCATAAATATTTACCAGTTAGATTTATTAACTATTGTCTGATCATTACCTACCAGCTCTATATTACTTTTCCTGGATGTGCTTTTAAATGGAACACTTAGTACAAAGGATACCCCATTCTTTCCTGCTTTACATACTAAATTTCTGATATAAACTTCAGAACCAGAAAGCTACATTTAAGAGACTTCTGATTGCTATTTCAAATGGATCCAATTATTTTTTGCATCCTGGACAAAGCACAGGAACTTGCCTGAAAAGCAGTATTAAAAAAAAAAATAAAGAAACAAACAAAAACCACCAAAAAGCAAAACCCAAAAAAAAAAACCAAGCCAAAAACATCCTCTACAAAAACCACTACATCTATTGGAGTATTGTCTGTAGATCAAACATTCTGAATGGAAAAGCAATACCTAAACACCAAATCTCACAACAAAGAAGCCAACTTGAGTCCAGAAATTTTTCCTTATTTTCTTTAAAAGGGCAGTATTGGTAATTGTCAGAGAAGCTATGTAATAATGGTTTCCTAAAAACAGTGAACAACTGCCAGTTAGACAAGACATAAAAAGGATATTTTGGGGCTTGGGATTGATCAGTCTGTGACCAACATAGATGCCTACAGCCCAAGCAGCCAGTGATGAGACTCATGTGGGAACTCATTCAATGAGAAATCACTAGGGCCTGACATTTAGCCTGCAGCGGTCACTCTATTCTTACCTTAAGAAGTAAAACATGTCAGTAACCACAAACTATTACTGCTATTATGTTTTCATGAAGTATAGAACTGTTATTAAGAACCTTGTTTTGTATTGCCAGTGCAAGTTTGGAATTTTATTTTTCTTAATCTTACATGAACAAGGCTGAGTTGAGTAATATCATAACCATAAAACAGATATTGAAGGCATTTTAGAAAGTAACACATGAGTGAAGGAAACATTTTAATAAAAAACCACAAAAGTCACTTCACAGACATATAGGTAAAGTAATAAGAAAACTTTTATCTTACAGGTATTGAAGTGCTCATATTGCTTATTGGCTTCCTAAGTAGCTATTTGGTCCCTGCTGCAGAGATTAAAAAAAAAAAAACACAAAAAAACAAGAAAAAAAAAACCAAAACAACAACAAAAAAACAAAAACCAAACTTGAGTTGTTTAGCAGATTTCCTAATAGACAAGAAATAGTTTATGGCTTCAAGGGAACATGGCTCCTTCCAAGGCCTCATGACTGCAGAGGGCAACAGGTATCCAGAGATTTTTTTCTGTAGCAGATGGCCAATACATCCAAAAGAACCAAAAGCCCTTTCTGAGAGGTGTTTATGAGGACAGGAAGAATACATGCCTCTATATACTTTACATATGCATTCAATACAATACGTAGTCATAGAAGTTTACAGTTTCATCATAAAGGTCAAAAGTTACTTTGTTACAAACACAAAGAGGCAGTATTTCAGAAGTTGCTAAGGCAGACCCCAGTCCACCCATGCTAAAGAGAGGCCAATGGCTCCTTTACAGACATGGGAAAGAGTACTGCACATGTCAATTCCCACTGAGGGCATAACAAAGCAAACTAGTATGTTTGAGAGGAATGTTAGGTGAAACAAAAATAATAAAAAAATCTCACTTAAATGTGTGTCCTGGTTAAAAAAAAACCAACCAAACACACTAACTAGCCTCCCTGCCCCCCAAACATTGCTACCTGCAATACCCTGAAACTAGGAGAATCCCTAGTTATCCTGAAATTATTTCCCTGAACAAGATACCAAACAAGCTGTTCGTAGTATCAAAAGTCCTTAGCAGAGTAGACAATGCTCTTTTGTGAGCTTTGTGCATTTGCTGGGACAATTAAAAAAAAAGACTTCTTTGTTGCTGCTTGGGTTCTCCTTGCTTTATCTGGGGTAATATGCTGTGTAGTTCATGAAGAGCTGAGCCCCAGCAGGGTAGTAGGCTGTGGAGGGCTGGAGTGTTCGTGGGTTCAGAAGCATGGATGGCTGATACAGAGCAGCTTCTGTTGGCACAACTGCAGCAGGAGCCGGAAAGGAATAGGCAGGGGGTGAAATGCCTATAGGGAGCAAATGGAAAATAGATTAGGACCTCTGAAATTCCAGAGCTAATACATACACACACACACAACTCCACAGTACATCAGGAACCTTCACAATCTTCTCATCCTTGTTCACCACAAATAAATATGAGCCACAACAGTGGCTCACACCACCAGTGTGACTACAAAGTCTTACACCTAGCCTCCAGTCAACAGTAAACTCAAAAAAACACCTCTTGCTCGGGGAATAGGGTCCCTTTCTGATACATAGGTCAGTTTTGCTTGTCTAGGCTCAGATTTTAATGAAGTCTGCATTCAAGAACTACAAGACTTCTGCACAGTAAGAAGAAAGTTTCCATGACAAAGATCTGGCTAACATTCAACAAAAGAGAGAAGACTGTTATCCCGGTACTGCTTATCCTTTAACTAATCAACAGCAGAGTGAGAAAAGTCACGGCTTTGCAGCTTGAAATGTTACAACTAAATGAAAAAAAAAAAAACAAAACAAAAAAACCCCAAAAGTATACTTTTGTACAGTTTCAACAAAGATGTCAGGCCCTAAATGAATTCTCACTGATGAGAGTTCACCCTCCTCCTTTGCTTTCCTCTTCTCCTCCCCACTGGTATAGAAATGAACATAAAGCTTTAGATTAAGTAAGACTTCAATTTTACTATTCAGAGTTACAACCAGCATCTCACTGTATTGTAAAATGGGGAATGACAGGGCCAAAAGGCCTTATCTGAGGAATACATCACAGACATGTGTAACTGGAAATTACAAATGTGTTTCCAAAGCTTGTGACTCTGCCCAAGAACCTGTCCTAGGAACTCTCAGGTTCCAACCCATCTGGAACAGCCACCATACATAGGACTATCTACTGCTGAAGCCTGCTCAAGATACTTTTGCTGAAAGAAAAAAAACTTTCCCAAGGATTAGCTGAAGGTCTATTTGCACTCAAACCGCTCTAAAGGAAATTTGCTGCTGTACTGGCAGCTCTGACTAGCATGTAGAGGATGCTTCTTAAAAGATCTACAACCAAAAAAAAATACACTTTCATAGAGAGATGCAGAGAAAGCTACTACTTGACTACCTTGCCATTTATGATTTTGGAAGCAAAGTATTATTTTTCCCATAGGCTCAGATTTATGTGACACAGATGCTTAGCAAGTTCACCCTTAAGCTCCTGAAGTATTTCTCCCAAAAGTTTGTGTAGAAGTCAGTGTTCATCCTAGTAGCTCTGAGAATCAAAATTTGAAAGGAAATACAGATTCTGCAATTCTGAGGCAGAAGCCATGTGTATTTCATTCCCACAAAGCCAACCTCCATTTCATATGAATAGCAAAAAGCAAAGGAAGAGTTCAGTCAGTTGCAGTTCAAAAGGCAGAACACACGATTAAGTCTCAAAAGGGAGTATTACCTATAGCTTCTCAAATTAAGTTTTGAAAGTAATAAGGGAAGATCTTTTACTTGACATAAGTAAAATGTACTTGGACATACTTGACATACATTGTGAGCCATGATGAAAAAATATAAGTACGGATCAGTTAAAATACAAAACAGCTCTTTAATGTCTAGGCAGGGCTTAGAAATTACTTTTCGGAATAATCGCTCACCCTAACCAATTAAAGTTTCAAAGAGGGGAGGAAAAATTTGCCACTGGAAAAGCAAAAGTAGTTCAGTCATAATGATTCACAACCAAGGGGAAAAATAATGACTGCAAGCTGGTGACGATTTAAGACAAAGGACCTTATTTTAACACCCCCATCTCACAATGCTATCCAAGAACCAGGATCAGAGTCAGCAAAGCAGCTCCAATACCTACCACACAGTGTAGAGCATAGTGGCAAGAGCCAAGGAAAACTTACATGGTAACTTACATGGTGGTGGGGACAAGCCATTTCGATTTAAAGTGCCCCCCATTAATACAAAGTTCATCTCTTCAGCAGAACATTGAAAGACTTCAACATATCTGTCCTTCATAGTCTTCTTATGACACTTCTGTGCAGCCAGAAAAGCTCGATCTGCAGATTTCATCTGAATGAAAGCATCTCCCGATGGACGTCCCTTACAAACAAGGCAGACAAAAAAGAAATGTCTCTGTAGGTTCCATGAAGGAGCAGCATAGCAATAATTTGTGCTGTTACAAGTCTCTTCAGTCATAAATACATTCATCTCCAAAGTCAAGTACAGTCAGTCATCTTGAGCACTCATCAGCATGTTTAAGCTCTCCTCTCTAAAGCTTTTCCCCACATGATAATTTGATTGTATTTATTCACCTGTTTTGATTAAGCTACATTATAACTGTTTACATCTATATCTAAAAAAAAAAAGACACCTATGGGGAGACTGTAATTCAGGAGTACTTTGGTGCTTTGAGACCTGCTCTTACAAATTTACGATGAATGCAGAATTGGAAGATCTAGTCCCTATATATTACCTGTGATTTTTAAAATTCAAGGACATATACAATCAAGTGCTCATTGCTAAACAATTTGTTTTAAATTTTATTTTCTGAAGACAAACATGGGCTGGGATGTTTGAGTACTAACTAGCCTAACATTTGGTATGAGCTTGCAGAGAGGAAAATACCCCATCTTTATATCTGTAAATGAGCAGGATACACCACTGGGAGGAGTTATTTCAGCCACATGCAGCTGCTGATTACAAGGAGCCAAAACTAGAAAGATCTGAAGCCAGCTCTAACTCAAGTTCTCGGCTAGTTCTTCTCATTTTGGAGGGGACAATATTATCACCATCCTTTTTACACAGTTGTTCATGATTAGAGGGTTGAAACCTGGGAATTTGGAGGAAGATAAAAATCTAGTAGTCAGGCAAAAGCAGCATTTGGGTAGAAAAAAGTCTGATAGCTTTGGGCAGGGCAACGGTAGCAGAAAACCCTTAGGGTTATATGGACACACCAATTTCTTCATCCAGGTTCTTTCATTAGCGCTATCAAGGGCTGATACTACTGCAAATCATTACTTGTGCTTCAATATCTGCACTTTTCTTCGTCTCTCCCAGCACTACACATTCATTACAGTTTTCTAGCCTTGTCTAGGTCAAGTTCCCACAGACACAGGAATGTCTTTAGATAGACAGGTACCGAAATGACTACCGTCCCTTCTCCATACCCATATTCCTGGAACGCAGAAATCCTGCTTAGGACCAGGAAGTATTTTTTAGTTTTGGTTGATATTAAGCATAAGAAATTGTAAGTTCTACAATTGTAGAAGCATCATTTTTATACATTTTATAATCAGTTTGTTCCATTGAACCACTCAGAGCATCTCCATGGAGTGAAAGGACTCCTGAAGCCACAAGAATAGGAAGATAAAGATCACAAGAATGCACAATCCTTTGTCTAAAAGGTTTTCTTAGAAACTGCTTCCAGAAACAATGGCAAAGATGTGACACTTTATACACACCAATGAGCTGTTAATCTTGATGCTTAGCTGTTTAAAGTAAGCAAGAATGTAGGAAACCCAAAGCTTCAGTTTCTGACTTTTGACATGGGAATTCCTGTCTCTAGAAGGCTGCAGTCACATTTGTCCTCAAATATACTTGTGGCACATTGCTCAGCAAGGCAGGGACAAGCCACTCCTTTGAGAGCCAACATTGCCCACACTTGTGTTTTGATGGCACTTCTCACCAGGTACAAGAGGAATCATGCACACTGTTGAGCAAGACTCTTCAGCTCAAGCCTCCTACAGGTCAGGATCATGGATGCTGCTCTGGGAGCACCAACCTCTCCAAAACTGGCTCAGCTTTCAGCACATGGGTCTCAGTGAAAGAAACCACTCTACAGCAAATGCAGCAGCTGGCACAGCAGGGTTCGAGTCATCTATTGCCAGTACACTTTTAGAAGAGAGCTGGAGGCAATTAATACAATTACTGCTAGTCCCAAAGGTCCTTCCCTATGGATATCATCATCAGGACTGTATTCATATATACAAGCATTTGGCAGAGTGGCTAGAAACATGTTGCCTACCAACCTGGTGATTTAGTACCATGTGAACTCCATGGGTCCGAATATCTGTAGAAAACTCTCCCAGGAACTCCAGAATGTCCTCTATAGTAGCAGCATAGGGAAGACCACGCAAACGTATGCAGTCTCTGATGGTAGTGGGAGGCACAAATTGTTGAGGTAATACTGGAAGAATTGGAGGTCTTGGGAGAGGAATGAGAGGTGTGGAAGAGTACCTGTTCAGCACCTGTGCAAAACAAAAACAATTACAGAAGCCTCCTTACTGATTCTTCAATTTAGGAGTAAACATAATCCCAATCCCACCTGTTTTCACTCTGGGCAGTATTTTAATATACAAATGAGCTAGATACAAATATTAACCATAAAATATCCGATTTTTAAGCACTGTGATGTGGTTTAAGCTCAATTTAGCATACTTCTATAGTCACTCTACGATAAATAGTCATGTTACTGTTTTTAAAAAAAAAAAGGGTTATTTTTTTCTTGAAAAACAGTTTTGTTCTGGGAAATTTACTTGAACAGATGAAGCAAGTCTCAGATCTTAGAACATGAAACCTGTATATCTACAGTATTTTTATTGTGAAACTATCCTAAAACATTCTACCATCTACAGAGTCATGATAACACTTCTACCCAAAAATATCTCCTCTGAAAATCTTTAGGAGAGTTTGGGAGCTAGAAGCACATTTCACTAACACACATCCCTAACTGTGCCCGCCATAGTCCATTCCAGAAACATAAGGAGCATTCCCGAGTCACAGCACCCATGACACACTTTGAGATTTCTTGTTAATAATTTTAACAGCAAAAACGCTGTCTGGTGAAAAGTTGCCTGAATATTCAGTCACTACTCCTGAACTCTCTCTGAGCAAGATTAATATTTATTTGCATGTATACAGCTATCAGAAGGTTTTACTATACAAAGAAATATGAGAGTACTTGACAAAAATGGACTGACTAGTGAGCACTGTGGCTCTAACCTTCTAATCACAAATGTCACCTTCTAAACAAAGCACTGAAATTTCTGCATATTAGGGAGAACAGAGCTGCATAATTTCTTGGACAAAATGGCATGGCTACAATTTGCATCATAGATGATACCTTTTAATATCATGTGTAGAAGTTATTTACCTCAACTGAAGCTCTGCAAATATTTTTGGAGACTTAAATAGTCCACTCAACTCTCCTCCCTTTCCCTGATACCTTGGCTGCAATTACTGGTCCACCAAGCCCTGTTAAGCCAGACTCAGCAGTTTCAAACTCCTGCCACCCTCTATTAGGTAGCCTGTGCTTGCAGAAGATGGCAGAGATCTGCCCTTAAAGACAATTTGTAGAATTCTTCAGATACATTACACTGGAGAGGACAACTACATCAAAAGGGTTTGGTTTTTTGTGTCACTGACTAAAGAGAAATCTTTTAGCTCAAGATTTGTTGCTAAACACTCCTGAATAGATCATAATTGGACTTAGTCAAATTCAAAATATATAGTGTAAAGCACAAGGCCCACATCCACATTTTATAAAGGTATTGGAAGCCAAAACCCCAAAGGTTTCTATATGATTGAGAACATCCCTATACCATAATATCTTACATTTCAAGGGACTAAAGTCTCACAGAAATTCAGACAATACTCATTCTAGCAAGAGTCAAGAGTGAGAAAAAGAAACTTTCAAGTCAAGGCCCAGCATTATTTGCTTCCTCTACTGCCTGCATAGAAGTTTGGACTACAAAAAGGCAGCATTTGAAAGGTTTGCCCCTACCTGCTGAACTTCTGCTGCAGTGCTCCGGAAGAGTTCAATGTACCTTTTCCCCAGCAAATCCTTGTGCTTTTTCAGTGCATTTTGTGCATATTCCTCACAAGCAAACAAAACAAAGGCATCTCCTGTTGGTCTGCTGTCAGGGTAAGTGACAAACAGGACTCCCTCCTTTCCTCCTGTTACAGGGCAATGCTGGCCAAAGAAAGTCAGCACTTCTTCTGTTGTTACATTGAAAGGAAGACCTCGCATCCTGACAATCACTTGGTTTTCTTTTGACAAAAACTGTGCAACCTCATTGGAAGTACCTTTAACAAGAAAAAGTACAGAAGCACTTCAGTCTAGTATATAAAATCATTAGCATAGCCATATAGAGCAATATTTGCCTCTAAAGTCAGGAAAGATGACCTTATGATAAACTAGATATATTGTAAAGGACACCTCCCATTAAAGTACAGTAATGTTACCCCATTATTTAGAGGGGATTGATCTTTATTCAAAGGAAAAATAGGAAGTACTTGCAACATTCAAAGCTCAAGGAAAGCACAATCTGTCAATCTCTTGTGTGAGCAGGGCCTGTGCTATTGTGCCCCTCATCTAACTGTGGAATACCTCTGGCATGTTCTGGAGCCATAATATATGGCAACCAAGTACCCAGATCATTGTGCTGGGAAAGAAAGCTGGAAGAGCAGATTGAAAACAGCTCAGGGATTTCATCCTATCCCAACAGAACTGTCAAAGTCTGACAATTCTACTTTAGTACCTTTAGAAGACCAGTGATGCTAGTAACACTACCTTATTGAAAGGTAGCTGCTAGCCAAATTCATATCTTAATGCAATCCTTTCACTTACAGCTCTCTCACTCTACAAAGTTTGGTTGTACCAGACATACCATCCTTCAAGAATGTCACTGAGCAATGTCTTTACTTTGAATGGTATAACTACTTCCAAACCTATCTGCTAGCTTTGTAGTTGACAGCTTAACAGCCATCACCCACTCTGAAGCCTCAATCTCAGATCTCCAGTTAGTCACTTACAAACCTCAGCCCAAATCTCTGTCAGGAAGCAATGAGGAATTTACAGTAGTATTGCAGATAAAACAGCTTATTGGTTCTTAATTCAAATTTTGTACACTTGCAGACAAAGGGGAAGGAAAAGAGATCAAGAGAGAGTTTGAAGAGCAAATTTTGCAGCCTTTCAATTATCATCAAATATTTCAAGATTCCCTTTAAATAAGCATTTCCCCTAAATCCTCCCCATTAAGTCTGAGGCAAAGATTTGATTTGGAGAAAATCAGTTCCATAAATCCCTTGTATTTATCCTGTGATATCTGTTCTTATGTGCAAGCCTCCACAGCAACAGCAGTTACGCTGTTTTGAAAAACTACTCTGGTTTCATTTTTTCAGCAATCAATAGCATTTAGATTCCCACTATCATTAAGATGACCTAACAAATTAAGTTTGTATACAAGATCACTTTGCCCAATCAAATCCTGATTGACAGGATGCTTGAAAATGGCAAGAATGTGGAAGAGGCAGACAGATGAATCATGGAACATCTTGGACTGCTGCTAGCAGAATACATAATAATCAATACACCAGCCAACTTCTTGTTCAAAGAGAGAAAAAAGGGCCACATTCAAAAGGATCAGTTTGCAGCCAAAAGTTAGATGCTGACAGAACAAACCATCCATTTTTATCCCCAAAAATTACCTCCTGCAATTTTAAGGAAGTCTTCACCTGTTGCCTTGTACACCTAAAGGAAAAAAAAAAGGAACACATGATTGACATGTAATTTGAAATCCTCTTTTTGAAACAAATGCAAAGCCCACCATGTCACCCACCTCTATGTATCGGTTCCCCATGTGATGCTTGTGCCTTTGTAGTGCTAGATCTCTATGCTCTTCGCTTACGAACCTCACAAGAGCCTCCCCATTCCTCCTACCCTGGGCATTGAGACAGAGTGCAGCACCTCCTCTGCAAGATTTAAATCAAGAGTTGAAACTCCATGACCTACACAGCTGAAGAGCTACAAATGTACAAGTAAATTCTTCACTACTAACTTGGCAATATTTAGACCTTTGAAGAATCTTGCTATGTCCTGGTCAGATGACTGCCATGGCAATCCTCGTGCTCGGATAACAGCATTGTCATCCACAAGTTCCATCTTGCTGCTGCAGGCACAGAAAGAAGTAGTAATGCAGAGACACCTGCCTCTAGTATCTGCCACATACAAACCTGTCTGCTTGTAATTTATACTCCAGGAAAAGGCTTCTGTCCCTGCTCTATGTCTGCTGGATGGCCATGCCAAGACAGTGAGGCCCAAGTGCCACCAACAACTGAAAGCCACTGTACAAGTCTCTCCAAGGGAGAGTTTGCTTTGTTAAGTTGCTCCTTTCCTGCTTTACCACATTTGCTCATCTCTTCAATCATATTCCAAATTAAGGTCCCTTTCCTGACACCATTTGTTCTCCATTATCTGAAGAGGATTGCTGGTATAAAAATCAAGCACTTGCAGTTCTAATATAGCTAGGTAGAAATTGAAACAGAACAATTAGATGTAACAGAAATTAATTATATTTATTTCTACTGTGATAGTGTATAAGAACCAGTCACAAACCAAGACCAAATCTGTTCAGGGCTGTACTCAGCACAGACAGGACTCTGGCCTGAAGAGTCAGGCATTAACATTGCTGGTTCAGGCCATCACTGTGCTACTAGAGAATAACATAGCTAAAGGCTACATTGGCTGCTTAGCATGGGACTAGCATAGCCACAGAAAGCCAGGTTTAATTGGTCATTACTACAGTCCCTTTTGTACTCTTACTTCTTGAAAGTGTCAAGTTCAACAAAACGCTCACAGCTACCCAAGCCTGCCTTTCTGACTAGCGCAGGAACAGCTTTTTTGCACAAAAGAGCTTAAGTGATTGATTAAGTAGATGAAATGTTGTTCAGTAGTAGAGGACTCCCTCGTACAAAAGGGCTGTGGTATGCCTGGTGGGTCATGTTTTTCACTCACATTTTAATTTCTCAGATGGCCTTTCTGTAGCTGTCTGTCTCAAACTGTTCCCTCTTGCCTCCTAGTTCTGCACTTCTCATTATCTCAAATAAAATGTGAATCTTCCATTTAATCCCAAAATTTTGTTAATGAAAAGGAAAAAGCTTAGAACAAGGCTGAATGTAGCCCCTTAGCCAATTTCTGCCAAGGTTGCATTTTTTTTCACTTTTTTTTGACTCAAAAGTATAAGCATCATCTACTGTTATAACAGATCCTTAATCTGAAAGATGGAAGTGTTTGTGCAAGATGGGAATATAAATAAGGTCAGTTTAACACTAGTATCTTGTGATATTGCAGAGAAATCATTAAGAAAACTACTGAGAAAAATCTGTATTTACACATAGAAAAGACACAGTTGGACTAAAAAAAAAAACCCCAAAACCAACTACCCAAGCAACAAAGCAGGCATCAAAAACAGACAAAGCTTTATGTTTAAAAGATATTTGGGAATGAAAATCACCATAGATTAAACAACTGAGTGGTAGCACAGTATTTCTGGCACATTATCTTTATTAAAGTGTTTCTTCCCTATTAAAAAAAACCTATGTATATGCAGTACCTGTGTAGTAAATTGCAGGAAGAGTGCATGGGTTAGTAACTAACTTGGTTATTTCTAAAACACTGCTTACATTCTTTGTTATTAGCACAACACACTTAGTACCCATTATAAGCACTTATTAGCAGAACACAGAACTCTCAGCAGCTCACAGGCAACACCGAAGCCCAATAAGAAAACAGGCTTCCACCTGATCATAGATTGCGTGTTCCCTTTCCCACTTGAAGGATCTAATCAATCCCCATAGCAGTGGGAAGGTAAATAATTATATAATGGCAACTGCTATTGGCAAATTAGGAAGAAAGAAGTACAGCTGATCTAAACAGTAACATTAAACAAAAAGTGGTGGGGGTTGAAAGATGTGCAGCAAGAAAAGGGAGGAAGTACTTACCAAGGCCCACTTTCAAATTTGTAGTTCACCCTTTCTGGATCTGAAAATCGGTGATCTAGGAAATACAGCACAAGTTACTTCCTATTTTGTCAATGTACAGGACAGGCAGCAAAACCAAAGAAGGAACAAAGAAAATTCATTCATCATAATCACTTACTGCATGGTTCAGATATTAATGTTAAAATAATATTGCCCATATCTTCAACTTGAGAGGCTCCATAGGGAAGTGCTGGACTGTTCTTGTCAAGATTTAAATCTTTTTGCTGGAGTTAAGTCAATCATCACCAAATTGATGTCTAATTGGTTTCCTGCTAAAGCAACACACTTTTCATGTTGTCCTTGTATGTTGCTTCTCAGGGGAATATTTAATCCATCTTCCTGCTGGGGTACATTAGCTGCTCTTGGCCTCGAATTATTGCCACCTGTGGGAGTGTAAGGTCACTAAAGAAAGTGTCTGGGGACATGAGACCCCAGAATAAGGACATGTATTTAATATGTATATTTGACAGATATACTGCTGCATATGGAAGAGACTGGAGCCCCATCCTCTTTAATTAACATCCTCTTTAATCTTCAGGGGAAGATTTGGAGCAGGAGAAGAAGCAAACAAACTAAAAGCTCCAGAAATTGAGAGATATACCACATGCTTTTTGACCAGGTAAATCCCAAAGCAGAGTAAGTATCTTACCACTGCAACAAAATTCCTAAGTGACACCTTGTCTAAACATTGCCTATTCGAAATTACAACCCAAGTTTTGTGCTGTTGTACAGAAGCATTCTGATAACCTGGTTAGAATCCATGAGTCATGTGTTTTGTCAAGAGGCGAAACAGAACCACACAATCCATAGCTTCAGTCCGAAGGATTTTGGAAATGACTGCAATAGAGAGCAGGAAGCATCCCGTCCCAGGAAGACCTTAGAACCCCCCACATTCATAAAGGGAGGCTGATTTAAGTTGCATAAACCATCTTTTGTCAGGACAATTGTAAACAGTTTACTATGGTATCTCCTGCTTTCCATCATATTTGTCCCTCTCCAACACCAGGCTACAAGACTGCAAGATTATTTGCAATTTTATTCCATTATTTATGAAGCAAATTTTAAAAAGGTCTTTTTCACTTAATTTTCTTTGAGGACTGAAGGGTAAAAAACGTAATCAAAAACATAACAAAAAATAAGGAAATCTGGGAAAAAGTGTTGTACTTTTTACTTGCCTTATCAGTTTGCATCAAGACTTAAGAGCAAAAAAGAGAATTTCTAAAACAAGACACATCCTGATATGGAGGTACAGTAAGACAACACATTGAAAACAGCCAAGGGCAGCAATTATTTGCCCACATGACCCCCAGACTACATTAAACACATTTCAAATGCTCCAGAGCCTGCATTATGACTGTTCAAAGGTTGCTTCATAGTCCAAGATAGCTTTCCTCTTTAGAGGAAACTTGCTTTCTCCACCTACAGCTGAGCAACATTTGAGTTGTCAGATGCCTACATGAAGTGCAGGGAAGAGAACAGTTTCTCTTAGAAACAAACATCTCATACCAGATTTGTTGTATCATCTCATCAACAGGTGAGCCAGCACAAATGTCTTCTTCTGTTATTTGTAGGATGACAGCAAGTCACCCTACAGAAACTGATTTTTAAAAAAATGTTTAACAGTTGTCTTGTTGCAAAATGAAAAATAACTTGAACTGAATTAATGCATTCCTCTTCCACAGCAAGGAAAGGAAAGCTGCTGTGCCAACAAAATAACTTCAGGCTGATTTTATTTTGAAGCTTTGTTGATTTTTAGTGCACATTAGAATATGGAATGTGAGAGGATGATGCTTAGTCTTAGAAGAACATTTGAAGCTTAAGTGAGCTATCTTAGTTTAAAAACCACAATACTTAAACCAGTGATTCCTCTCCTCCAACTACTTGCCTATAAATAGATTCCTAGTCATTGCCTTTACCCTCCCCCTCCTAGTACATTCGCTGGGGTAAAGTACTGTGAACAATAAATAGTTTTCTTAAAAACCAAGCCAAAAAGCCTGAGCAACTCCAAAGCATGGTTTAAGAGATTACAACTATTTGTAATAACAAAAAATTTCTTAATCACAGTCTCTCTTCCCAAGCTTTAAACAAGCTCCATCTCACTACCTCCTCTGCCCCCAGAAAGGAGGGGAAAGAAAATAACCAACAGACTCTGACAGAGAAGATGCCTAAGCAGCACCACACAGACGTTTCTGGGCACCTTGTGTATCAGAGCAGAGTAGTGCTCCTCCTCCCTTTCCTGACACTGTTCTCCATGTAGCACCTAACTCTGGGCTTGTGCAGAGCCTCTGCTGCTCATACAGGGAACCAGAGGCTGCTGATGGTGCAGGTGCTGGAACCCTGGTCTTGCCTGACCAAAGTTTTGAAGATTTTGGAAATGTGTTTCCTCTGTCAAAAGTCAAGAGAAATTCGGCAGGAGTTTTAACAGCTATTCCAGCAGGGGACATGCATACACATGCGCTTAGCTGTTAGACTGCTGCCAGAACTGAAATGACATTTCAATATTTCCTTTGTGCTGAGCAAAAGATCCCTACAAGCAATCAGCATTCAGAGAGGGGAATGCAGCAACATGAAAGGGACAGGAATTTGAAGAGAAGCCATCACACAAGGAAAACAAACAAGGACCCCACCCCACAATAATTTTCTTCAGTGAAACTGTTTTCTGAAGACACTGATCCACAGGAGAAGCAGTTCCTGGAAATGCTCTAGTGCCAACAGAAGCTGGTACCAGTTATCAGACACAGGCAGTCAGTTGTGCCAAACTCTAGAGAAATAAAAACACAGTGGAGGGGAGGAAGTAAGTTGTGAACATTATTGCAGGCGTAACCTCACACCTTCACCTCTGCTTACTTAGAAGCACAGCTTTTAGGCAAGATTGGAGAAGAAAATGGATCATTTTCTGCATGTTGAAAGAACATGCCAAGTAAAAATCTGTATTCTAATGAACAACATTGTTTCATTTATATTTTTCCCCAAGTACCATAATTTCTAGTGCCTCTGTCCATAGGTGTCTGCCTCTGTGTAGACAGTCTATAAATCTCATTCCTTGTTCTGTGAAGGGGTAGGAGACCACACATCTCTGTACAATTACATTTGAAGGATGCTTCTCCTGGGCAATTGGAGAAAGACAATTACAGGAGACAATCCAAGTTCACATTTAAAGAAGCATTAGAAACCAGACATGGCTGTCCAGAGCTACTATATGCAGTAATATCCAAAAGTATATTCTTAATGAAGCAATAAGCCAAAGACAATCCCAAATTAGGCAGGATGGGAAACAAGGAACTATTTAATCGTGTTGTGCAGCTGTGGTACCACCTCCTGCAATACTCACAAGTTAAATGGAGCAGGAAGGAAAGGTGCATTCTATATTAGGGAGGCCTCTCTAACATGGAAGAAATTTCCAAATAATTTCCACCACAGCTCACTGCCAGTGTCCTCCAAGACTTATTCCTTCCCACTGTTTCTTAACTCCTTTCTCACTGAATAACTAACTTGATCTGAGATGACATGAAACAGCATTGCAATTGTTGTCTGCATTGATACTTTCCCCTTTGTTCTGTTTCTTATTTAAGTCCCTTTAGACAGAAGATTACATCTTTCTACATAATGCTTTGCATAAAGGTAATATAATATTACCCAGTTCCAGAGTACTATCACAGAAAATACAATTAACAATATCCAAGATTCTCACCTAATATCCAATTATGGGCATTTTATTGCCAGAGTTAAGCACTATTGGTTATAATCGTGTTCCACATTATTGTTTCCAAGACACTCAGGTAAAAACACAAAAACAAACCAAACAATAAAACCCCAACAAATCACGTTTCAGTAGTACAATATCCAGCACATTAAACAAGCTGTTCTGGAGTTTCTACTGACAACACTGGCAGATATTCCTAGTAAGAAGTTATCCTCGCACATCCAGTTCAGAAGTGAGTGGAACAAACCAAGTACTGGAGGAAGCAAGAGCTATTTGCCATTTAATAGCTTCTGCACACCCAATCTCGAGGCAAAGGACGAGTCTTCTGCAAATCTAATAGGAATAGTCATGCAAGCTTTATTCACTCCACCCTGAAGGCACTCACAGGGTGAAAACTGGCTCAGCAAGCTTTGCAAATCAAGAAGTGTAGCAAGTATGGGAGGTACAGAGGGTGCAAGAACAACCCTGCTCCTTTTGTATGCTTACACATTAAAAAAAAAAATGTCAACAGACCCAAGTCCTTTTCTCTGCTGGAACATGATCACTTCCCTCAAGTTCTGTTACTCAAAATTTCTCATAATTGTCCTGCTGTCATTACACTTACACAATTCTGACAAAGTCTGCCAGAAAAACTGTCTCATACATAAGAACTGTTTTGACACCATGAGCTAGGCAGCAGTAATACTCAAGAGATAATTACAACTAGTCTCAGTTCTGCCTTGGTCCCTTGAATTTCATAGCATTTTAAATATTGCTTTACTTTTAGATAAAAGAAATTAATGTCTGTTTGTGGTGAAACGTATAACTTCTTGCAGTAAAGATTTGTAAAGCTTTCACCTGAGTTCTTAAGTTTGGCATGGTTTCATTGCTATACACAAATTCCAAGTAGCCTCCAGAGAGAGTAAGTCCACAAAGTGCTCTCTAAAGGAAGAAAAACACAGCCAGTTATTCAGTCTGTTATCTCTATGCTCTTTTACAAGACTGTGCTTACCGTGTCTGCATGAAATACACAGCCAAGCCCCTACAATCCCATGTGCTGTATACTGAAATATGTATCTGGAATTGACTGTGCAGTAGGAAGTTACCTCCCCTAACAGCTGGGAACAGTAGTGTACATTCCCCATTTGCCTGTAATTTGGTGTTTGATCAAAAGTGACCCATCAAAAGTTTTTTAAGACTTTAACAACTCCAATGACTGTAGATCAATACCCAACTTTCTCCTAACTATTTCAAATCATTAAAGTTTCCTCTTGCTGATTACAACCAGGCTACATGCATATAAATGGAGATGTAAGTAAATGAAGGGATGTGCTCAAAAACCCATTCTACTCATGTTTCTACCAGTCTGTAAATGCAGGTCTCAAATATCTAGTCAGTACCCTAGCTCCATACTAAAACCTTCCATCATCACCAAATGCTAATGTATCTGGCACACTATAGTTTCTGTGGCAGAAAGCTGCACTTTCTACAAGAATAAAGAGTTTGATCAGATACTATGCACTAATCTGCAGCTTCATTTCAACCTACTGTACTTATTCCTGATTTGTTTTTGTGTCCACACCCCAGCATATCCATACATGAACGAAGAAAAACTAAACAACTCTGCACAATTTATGGAACTAGTCTTTAGACTCAACACCTGCTTAAACAATCTTTTTATCCCAATCATCACATACATGTCTGTGGTCTACAAGTGCAATTAACCTATGCAGCTTCTGACACTGAGGACATTAAGTTGATACTCTTCAGCAATGTGAGGAAAAAAATTATCACATTTGTCAATAAAAGAAGAACAAAAAATCATTTTACCCTTTTTAGTCTCTTCATCCTCTGCTCCCACAATCTCACACAATAACAGCAGAGAGACAGTTGATTTCAGCCATGCTGCATAAACACAGCAAGTTTACAAATAAGAGCCTCAGCAGTTACAAAACAAAATAAGCCACAAAAATAGATGCAAGACCAGAATGAAGTTAGGTTCATGTACCTTAAGAGCATATCTTATCCAGAACTTGGACTCAAGCTGAGTGCATTTGGATAGACTGACTAAGCTTCTAGGAACTTGGAGAAAATCTTATTGGCAATTGCCAAAACTACTATTAGGCAGCACTGACTCTTTAGAGACTTCCTGACAGTCAGGTAACACAGGGTGGTCTGCCCCCATCTCCCAGCAGACAGAGAATACACAGTTCATCACCATGCCCTAGCTGACCAGTGACACTCCAGGTAGCCACAGTCATGCAACTCCCCCCACAGTGGAAAGGCATACCCCAGACATTCACATAAGGAGAAAAACAAGGGCAACTCTCTGAAACAGCTGAAGTAGCTCATTGTCTTTAATTTCTCTAGATCATGTGAAAGCATTCCCTAAACAACGTATTAAGGTTTTCCCCATAATTTTAAGAAGTCACCATCATCCAGTTTCAATGCACCACAGCATTTATGTCACTTTTCTACATAAAGATTCTATTCTAAGTGTACTGCTTTCCTTCAGAATACTGGGAGAAATAATTTTACCCCTTCACTAGCAGAGATTAATCTTAATTTGCAGATAACAAAGCAGAGCAGAATGGTTAAATGCAAAAATCCACCCCATATGTGTATTTTATGCCCCCAACAAGTACAAAACCCAGGCAATACTAATCCTGCAATAAAAGTCCAACAATTTCTGAAGCCACAGACATCACCTCTTAATGGCAACCACTCCATGGACACAATAAGCAAGTTGGAGGAAAAGTTATTAAAAGCAACAGCAACAACATCAACCACCAATACCAAAGACAAACATCTCAAATTCCTTTATTCCTCCTTGATACCTAAATTTTGTGACCACTACTTCAATAGCTCTGTAGCTCTTTGTCCGAGAATATTTTTGGATAAGGACTGAAGCTTGCAGCGAGAGATGAGACTGCCAGGGAAGAAGGTGCAGCCAAATCACAGCTTCAGCTCTCAGGCTCACACTAGGAAAGAGCCAGACAGGATGGCTATCAGACCATTCAGAAAGTAATTTTAGACATCCTTATCACTGAGATAGAAGCATATTACTGACTGCATCTTGGTGCCAGCCAAGCCTCACCTTGTGAGGTGTAGCATGTGCACCTTCTACATGACTGAATACCACATGTTCCAACAGCATCCCTCCCTTAGGTTCATTCTTATGCTAGAGATTCTCTACAAGGTCACATCAAGAATAACCATCTCCTTGCCTTAAAATTAAGGTGGTCTCCCAAAATTTGCTCTTGCCTAAAATAAAATAAAACTAACTGATAAAATAAATCTAACTGATGCTATAAAACTCAACCCCTAACCTTTAATATTACAATTCACAACAGCAATTTGAAAAAAAAAATGTGCTGGTTACATTAAACTGTGAAGTTTAAAGAGAGACAACAAGACAGTAAAGAAAACATACAGAAGTCAAGAAATACAGGATTTTCTCCATGGAAGCATTCATCCTCATATGCTTTTATCTTTATCTTTGTGAGAAAACTAAGTACAGCTCCGAGTCACTCATTAAAGTTATACCACCCCTAAACATGTGTTGCAAGCATTACTCATACACCTCTGTCCTAAAATTCAGACAAGACTGTAACAGCAGCAGACACCATCACTGTTAAAAGGATACATTCTCTCATGGCTGCAACATCAAGCTTGCTAACTTCAGGTGAGCCAGGGCAACACTTCTTGAACTCTTTCCGCAAGTCAAAAAAGGAGTAGAAGCATTCAGGCAGTAAAATATTCTGTAAAAGGAGCAAAGTAACCACCATCGGTTAGCGTGAGTTTAACTTCTTTGTGTACAGATACCAAACTTTCTAACAACATCTTTAGAATAGATAGGAAACACAAACAATCATTGCTACAGAGAAACTCATATATGTCCACTTAGCCATGTAAGTACATTCATAAACTTTTTTGCTTAAACAGCTTTCTCTTTATACTTAATAAGAGAAATGTGCTTTTGCACTGCCAGAGAAACATTTACCAATATTACTAGAGCTTCAAATCCAATACATATGTAGCAGAGCAAACGCCTCCTATTGCAGCATTTATCATCAATTCTTGATTGGAATTTTAACTGTATAAAGCCAGAGGGTAGTCAGTTCGATTTGTAGAATTAAGCAAATTTTGCAAGACTAGCAGACAGTTTATAGAAAAGGCTGTTTCCAGACAATAGTCACTCTTCAAATATTTATTTCCTACAAATAAAAAATCTGACTGTGTAGAAGAGGGTTTGGCGTGGTGCACAAGTTGCCAGCCTATGCATGCTAACTGCTTTAACTGCAGCATACAAAGCCAGAAGCAAGTTACGCAGCCCACTACAAGTCAATGAAATCTTTCTTGCCCCACCACTACATCTACCACATGCTTTTAATTTTTGTGGGAGCGGAAAGGAGAAGACATGGAGAAGTCTTGGTGGCAGCTGTTAAAACCAATGCAAACCCTTACTCCTTCAGTTAGCTCTTCAACCCAGACAGAATACTACATATTCCTTTAGGCTGTTTGTTGCCTGCAAGGACTACACATAAAGGCATTCTGGGATTTAACAACTAGTTAGCATGTTGGCATTATAACAGATAGCAGCCTATGTGAAAGCACATTTTGGGAGCCCAAAGAAAGCAGTTTAGGCTCTAAAACAAATTCTGCTTTGAGAACTTTAGAACATTATCTTAGCATATGGACAGGTGTATTAGGCAAACGATACTCTTTAAAGACTTATGAAAATGTAGATGGGCTTGCCAACATTTCCTGCTTTAGTTTTGGCATGATATTCTTCCTTGATATGAAATGAAGTTCCGTATTTCATTTATGTTCTTTTGGAATGACTGATGCCAATTCATTCTCTGAATACCAGGAGTTGCTAGATGGCTTCAGAATGGATATCTTAGAAATAAATATCTTCTCAAGAGCCTGGAGATTTCTGCCTATCTGAATTTTAGTGATCCCACACTCCAATCCCTGCATTAGGATATTAATCAAAAAACTATTACAAGTCTCATAAGTATCTGGTTTACTTAATCTACAGGCAGCACAGAGCAAATTTCAAAGGAACAATTCTTAATGAAACAGCAACAGAAGATTATATTAAAGACTTGATTCCTGTCTGTGACCCTGTTATGATACAGAAAAATGATCCCCGACATCAAACCAACTTAAATTATTGCAGGATGTGTCCCTTATTTTATCCACATAATTTAAATGGATGACAAGTTTTACTTTATTAGCCAACAAGAAAGTCTTTTAAAAACCTGTTTCCACATTTTCTCATGTTATATGACATAGAAGGCAAGTTACATATATAAGAACTGTCCCTTCACTGTGAATAAAGCTCACTGTTCCTCTTCTAAGCCTTCAAAGCTATCAATACTTAAAGCACAAGCGAGTATTAAAACTGAGCTCATTCAGTATCACTTTTGTAACAGCACAGACTTGCAGCAGTGTCCCTTCAAAGATGAGGCAACAAATTGATGGGCACAGAAGTCAGGTACAATGAGAGGAGCAGAACAGCTCAGTCATGGAGCAACGCATGTCCATACCAAACCACAAAATGATGTGTTATTAATATTGAGGCAGTTATTTCAGAGCTAGAGAGACTCACATATTGCTGCAACCCTATCACTAACAAAAAGCAGGCAGAACTTCATAACACTGTTAGCGATTTGGCAACTCAAGTTATGGAAAACTCCAGACTACAGGACTAATCATCACTCAGAGCCTGCCTCAAACTACTGTTCAGCTCCTTACAAATACAAACACCGCCCTTGGAGTGTCAACTGAATGCCCAAAGATTGAAAGTTGCTATAACTAGGCATGAATGTAAAATTTCAAAAACCAGTTTATGGTTAAGATGGTTAATTAGCAACAATCCCACATCCCCCCTATTAACCCTGTAGAAGCTACAAATACAATCAATATGTTGCTCCTTTCTCAAACATTTAAGAGCCTCTTCCTTCTGATTTAACTTTAAAAGGCATCTCAAGTCCATATAAGAACAGGGCACTGTATATGCCTTCCACACAGACAGGCTCTTCAGCATCCTAAGCACATTGCATACGAGCAATGTTTGTTGCTATGGTTGTGTGGAGGTACCCTCATACCAGAGAGAAGTTGATTTGTTTTGCAAGAAATCATAAAAAGCGCATTAAGACTTAATCCATAACTACATACCTTTTTGGAAGCTTCAGGGTGTAGAACCTGCCTAATGTGCAACTGTCCATCAGTACAGAAACAGAAAGAAGTACCTACACCAATGTTCAGTTCATTGCTCACGGACTGATTAAACTGTTGGCAGGAACGAGAAAAGACATACATGTTACAGAGACCAGAGTGGCACCACTAGGCAGTGTCATCAGTTGGCAACATTATTCCTGGGCAGCACAAACTCGGAACTAGAATTCTTTTTCAAATAAGCCTACTCCTTCACTTCTGTAGATTTGTTCCTTACTAGCTAAGCACATGCTAACTTCCATGATAAATTTCTTCTCAAGGAAACCACCCCTCTCCCCCCATCTAATGAGATATGGCTACAAAGACAGCCCACACCACAGAAGAAAATCCTTTTCAATATTTGCAAGAGCATTGCAATGAGACAAAGCTGATTGCAGAGACCTGAGGCAGTACCAGGGCAGAACAGCTTTTTAGACAGGGCACTCAAAGATGTCAGAAAGAAAGCCTGTCAGCTTTCAGCCCTACCCTCAATGGGAATCACGCACGCTTCCTTATTAATCTAGAGACTCAGTACCAGCATCTTCTCAGGACTGATGAGCACGAGCCTTAGAGCCTTAACAGGGGATACCTAAAGCTGGCTTCATCCAACACTGATTAGGGCTCACCCACAGCTGAAACTCACTCAGGGTCCAGCACGGCAGGAGAGCAGGGGAGGGAAATAGCCAACCCTAATCTTCCTCTCTTGGGGTTCAGCTCTTCCCAAGGCAAATAAAGAAAAGGCAAGGCATTAAGGCCCAGAAAACCCTACACTTATAGGCTTCTTGGCCCACACGTTTGTGGTGCGCCTGTACCAGGCTCCACTGCTCTGATGGTGGGGGTAAGCAGATGACGATACCACCTCTACCCTACGGGGGAGCTCCCAAAGGAGACCAGCACTTAGCGATCAGATACGGGGCGTCACCTGTCTCAATGCCTGCTCCAGCGGTGGAGCCAGTGCCAGGCTCTCCACATCCACTTGCGTGATCTCCTGGCACTCAGCCGTCAGTTCTGTGTGGTCAGGCCGGACCAGCACGTCATGCAGGTGCCCCAGCTCCAGAGAAAGCAGAGGAGGGGGTGAGTCAGCTCTCCGGGCTGAAGGACCCCACCTGCAACACCAGCCCCTACCCTCCACCAGAGCTTGCTCCAGCCTGGGACACCCACTACCAGCCCAGCGCCGAGACCACCCTGCCCGCACCCAGCATGGCAGGCGCCAAGGGGAGCAGCAGGTCGGGGTGCTCCCCCGTTGGGTGAAAATACCTCCTTACTCCTCAGGTCGACCACTTTCCACAGGAGCTGGAGCAGCTCTCGCTCGTCTGAGCCCAACCTTGCCCCGTTGGTGCCCGCCGTGGTCACGAAGAGAATCACCAGGTAGTCGGGAGACGCCGTCATCGTGCCACCGGGCCAGCAGAGAGGATAAAAAGAAGGAAAGGAAGAAGCAAGAGAAGAGAAGAAGCCGGAAACTTTCCTTGCCCCAGGCGCTTCCAAGCAAGACCCAAGCGGCAGAACCCCCAGCTGCGCCTCACTCCCCAAGGGCCTGGCGTGGGGGAGGTGCACGGCTCCCCCTCTTTCCCACCCCCTTTTCCCCGAGGTGGGTGGCAGCCGCTCCAACACCAACTGCACTCCTGGGAAAGGCGCAATGGCTGCGAGCTTTTCTGCGCGGGGCCGCGGCAGCACCTGCCCACCGGGCCCACGTGGTGCAGGTAACACACACCTGGGCCGCCGCCCATTGGCCCCGCTGGGCGGGACGTGGCAGCGCGGCGGGGGCGGCAGCCGGAGTGCGGGGCCGGGATTGCGGGCGGGACGCCCGGCGCGGGCCGGGATTGCGGAGAAGTTGCGGGGGAGCGACTGTGGAGGAGCAGCCTGGGCCCCTGAGGAGCCTCAGCGTGCCCCGACGGCGGCCCGACCGCGCCTTCCGCCGCCGAGCTGCGCTGCACCGGGATGGTGCAACTCCTCAACGACGGGGCGGGATCGCCCGGTCCTGCCGGGACATGTCGCAGAGGGCAGTTCTGCTCCGGCCCTGCTCTGGGCAGCTCCGTGCCCCGGGTGGAAGGGCAGGGGAGAGGGCCACGCCGCCCGCAACAGCCCCGGAGGGTCCCCCGCTGTGGTCGGGGGCTGGAGGGGCCAGTGTAGTGCCAGGGAGCGCTGTGGCGGCGGGCAGGCCGGCTGCCCCCGAGAGCAGCTCCTTACGAGGGAGACCAGGGGCTCAGGGCGCTAAAGCCTTTTCCTCTGTCGATCTTAAGGCAGCGGCATCGCAGCTGCTCTACGGTTCTGGCACGGCGGATCAAGTCGTGTGTTAACAGCTGGCTGGTTTGGCTGTCGCAGCCTTCTCTCGACGAACTGGTGATTTTGGCGCTTTTGACAATCCCTCTTATTTTACGGTGAAATACCTATTTTAAAATCTCTGTTTTAAATGCATAATTCTCCTACACAGTCTTTTTTTCATGACAAATCACAGAACACAGGGTAAACAACACTAACTTTCTACAGGGGAATCCTGAGTTTCATTTCCAGGTTGGGAAACAGGCAACAAGGGGACCCATCAAGATCATTGAATACAACTCCTGGCCCTGTGCAGGACACCCCAAGAATCACACCATGTGCCTGAGAGCATTGTCCAAATACTTCTTGAACTAATGAAGGTTTGGTACTGTGACCACTTCCCTGGGGATCCTGTTCCAGTGCCCAGCAACCCTCTGGATGAGAACACAGACTCCTCACACAGCTTCATGGTGTTTCCTCAAGTTCTGTCACTGGTCACAAGAATGAAGAGGTATGTAATTGCTCCTTGTGAGGATGTTGAGGTCTCATCTCAATCTCCTCCTTTCTTCTCAGCTGCTCCTAATAAAGTTTTCTCTCAAGGCCTTTCACCATTCTCATGGCTCTTCTTTGGACACTCTCTAAGAGGTTTGTATCCTTCTTATATTGTGATGATCAAAATGTCACATGTCTATACTCAAGGCAAGGCTGGCCCAGTGCAGAGCAGAGAAGGACAATCCCCTCCCTTGTCTGGCTGGTGATGCTGTGCCTGATGCATCCCAGGACAGGGTCGGCCCTCCTGGCTGCCAGGGCACTGCTGGCTCATATTCAACTTTCCACTGACAAGGACCTCCAGGTCCCTTCCTGTGGTGCTGCTCTCCAGCCTCTCATTCTCCAGGCTGTCCATACATCCAGGATTGCCCCATCCCAGGTGCAGAACCTGGCATTAACCTTTGTTAAACTTCATATAGTTGGTGATTGCCCATCTATCTTGATTTGTCAATGTCCTCTGCATGGCCTCTTTGCCCTCAAAGGAGTTGACAGCTCCTCCCAGTTTGGTGTTCTCAGCAAATTTACTTAGTATGTATTTGAGTCTCATGTCCAAGTCTTTAATGAAGACATTGAAAAGAACTGGGCCAAGGATGGATCCTTGTGGAAGCCCATTAGTGACAGGTTGCCAGCCTGATGTCACCCCATGTACTATAACTTGTGAGCCAGCTGCTCACCCATCATGTCACCTGATTGTTGAGCTGTGTGCTGGACATTTCAATGAAGGTCTGCCTTGTGTGTTTCTTCATCACTATTCCTTATGCTGGTGCAGGTTCACAGCTTGCACCACCTTCTATTAACACAAACATATTTGTTTGGCAGGAAGGGAGCAGATGTGTTTCACCACGGCTGGGGATCCTGTCAGCCACTGACTTGTCCCCATAGTGCCTGGCGTCCTCTTCCTGCCCTGCTGTGGTTTGGTGCAGCCTGGTTTTGCTTGTGGGGACTGCCACCAAATTCCAGCATGACACATCATAGCTGGAATAATTTTCACTCTCTCTGGTCCAAGATTTCAAATTTGACATTCACTGGAAATTCACTGATAGCAGACACTGCAATTTAAGGGGTTAAAATGTCAAATTAATCCCTCCAGTTTTTAAAAACAGTAGCTGAAATTTTCAGTGTGAATCCAGTATCAGGAAACAACTAAGATAATTGTACCCTATTTGTCAGAGGTTTAGAGTACCTGGTTTTCTTTGTGCATTTGTCTTCTGACTTTTGATGCATTGAATAAAACATTTGTGAAATGAAGGTCTGGGGTGTTTGTCCTCAGTAGTGGCTGCAGGTGATCTGTACTCAGCATCTGAGGAGTGAGGTTGGTCCTCACACAGGGAGTTTGCTTTGTCATCTTTGCCTAGCCTGGAGCAAAAGGATTCAACAGCATAGGATGTCTTTGTGCAGTTTTCCCTTTCAGGTCTTAGGTTACTGCAACTTCTTAGAAAAACATTTATACCTTAGTACAAAAATCCAGAACGTTTCTGAAATTACTTCACAGTGGAGCATGCCAGACAGAGAGTTCTGTCTTGGCTGGCTGCTCATCTTTCAGTGAAACTTAATCATCTTTCTTAGGCAGTTTCATTCTCAGTGCCAGCTTGGCTTTTGAGATGCAGCTCCTGTCTTTTTGAGAATGATTTCTGGATGGGCACGTGTTCCTTTATTAGTGATTTGTTGTGTTCTGACTTACACACTTTTTTTTCCTGATTTTTGGATGGGCACGTGTTCCTTTATTAGTGATTTGTTGTGCTCTGACTTACACACTTTTTTTTCTTCTCTCTTCTGCCGTATTGTCTCATCCTATGTCTCTGTCCATCTAGGAGCATGAGAGTCCCTAGATTATTACTACAGCAGGCTGCATTATGTAAGGCTCCCTTCCAAAAGTGAAACTGTACCCTGAAAGTATTTTTAATTCCCATTATGTCTTTTGGATTACTGGCTAACCCTTGTTTCATTTATTCATTTGTTTATGAAGCTGCTAGTCACTAATTGCCACTGTAGAGCTATTACCTTTTATTTTTCTCTTTCTTGGCTAACACATTCCCTAAAACACCTGTTATCCAGTCACAGTTCCCATTCCACCCTCTTGCATGCTTGCAGCATCTGGTCTTAACAACATGCACCAGTTGGTCAGGTTCCTGCGTTGTGTTGCCCAGGCTCCCATTCCAGTTGCTTGTCCCAGGCCATTCCGTTGTCCTGGGACTGGTTAAGCATAATCTTTGCATGAAATGTCACCTTCCGGATGACATGGGCATTGTTATCTACAGGAAGGTACTGGGGTGCTTTGAAGTAAGGTGACCTCTCAGGGCCAGCACACTGCTACTGTTCTCATCTCCTCTCTGGCAATCCTTTTGTTTCCTTTGTAACCGTTTTTCTGTCATTTTTGTATTAGTTCTGGTGATTTCCCACCACGTGTCCTTTTGTTCCACTTTCTGTAACAGGACAGTTGTGAAACAACTCACACCCTTCTTCTTGCCAAGGAGGTCACACCCCCCGCCCCCAACACTGCAAGACTCATGTATCCTCTTATTTATTTCCTCCATTTTTCTGAAGTTTTCTTCTTTCACCCATTGATCCCTTCCTAAAAAACAATCAACCTGTGACTTTGCACTTCTCAATATGTCCAGATTTCTTCTGCCAGTTCTGCATCTCCTGCCCTGCTCTATTCCTCTACAGAAGGGTCTTCACCTCAATACCACCTGCAACTGTTGGCCTTTCCTGCACACACATTTGGCCTCTGAAAAGTACCCCACCTGTATCACTTTTCCTCAGTTTCCTTCCAGAATACCAACTTCTTACAACTGAAATTGGAGAATCAGCTCTATCATTCATTTTTGAATGTATTCATGTTTACCACCTTTTTTTTTTTTTAACATCTCTAAGATAAATGCTGTTCCTAACCAAATTCTGTTGTCTCCACTTTCATCAGTGGAGAAAATACCCCCCAAAATACACAAATTGCTTCTTGATATTGTGCAACTGTGGGTGACATTCAAGCACTGCTGTTCTTGCAGCAAGGAAATGCCTGGCCTATAAGCCCAGCCATGTGCTGAAGTCAATGACACTACATTGAGAGCCACCTAAATTGAATCCTGCAAAGCTGATTCTGTTCACATCCAGAGCTGCAGTTGTTCCCAGCAGCGAGAGAGTCACTGCAGATAAAAACACAGGGCTGGAATTCCCCTGCCAGTTACCAAACAGCTCTCACTGGCTGACCTGGTTGCAGTACTGTTGCAGGCTATCCCAGCAGAGAAGTCATCTGACAGGGACTGCGCTGCTCTGGCACAATGGCACACACGGTGATGCCCATGTTTGGAGCAGTTGCAAAGCTACTGCCCCACACAAGTCTCCAAAGAGCCCCTAAACGTAATCAAAACAAGCTGTGCCGAGTGTCAAAAGGCATTGTGCTACTGTGGTAAGCACATTTCGCTCTCTCTCAGAATTTTTCGTAGAGGTGCACAAAGAGAAAGAAAGAGAAAACAATTTCTATTGCTGCTCCTTGTTTTTCCTATGTGAAATGTGTTTGGAGAATTGTTTACCTGGGGTGATTGCTTGATTGGATTCTAGTGAGAATTGTTTGAGCCTGATGGCAAATCAAATCCACC